CAATTATGCACGAATTTGTTTTTCTCGTTTTTCTCGGAAATAAAGCGATATTTTGGCAAATGAAGTATACCACGGTTTATATCGCATCAAGGTATTCCTAATACCAAAATATGAGCGAATTCGATTTTTCGGCTGTTGCCGGCGTATGGTCGATTTTTGCTGACATCCTCTCTTAATATCTTTCATATACACCACTCTCTCATTGGCTGACAAGCGGATAAAAATGGGGTTACCCAGTCATTAGTTCACCTTGAAAGATGACTAGGATACCGTGAACTGGTTAGCCATTATGAAAACAGTGAATGAACCTATAAATCTTGCAACTACTTTTCTGACCTATATTTTCAAGTCAACTCTGGGCTGATGTAAGTGATATATAGTGGTACTTACTTGTACCAACACTGATTTGGGGGTTGTATTGTTCACTATAACCAAGAAATGAAATACATGTACTAATTCATGGAATACTGATTTGTACCTGAGGTATGAATTCACACACTATATTGATAGGCTTCTTGAAATGCCTGTTGAGGAAAGCAACAAAGCAACCAAGTTATTTTACTACAAAATCTTAAAGTTCTAAATTCCACACTCTAATATCTAGATTCTATACATTGTATGAAATGTAGGAATATAGGTAATGGGACACCAGGGAAAATGTTTGCGCATGTGTGCACTTCAGCACGTTCTCTAAGAATTTTGAAGAGTTTTAGTGAGAAAATAAATGTTTATTTTTTCAAAGTATACAAAAAAGTTCGAGAGTATACAACTGTACTTTTGTCAGATAAAGATACTGTCTTAAGAAACACAATAAAAGAATTAGCCTTAAGTTTTAAGCATGGACTCTAATTGTTGGCATTTGTGAAGTTCAATTTATCAGGCATGTTTGAAAGTCAAATTTACTCATGTTTTGACTAATTTGGCTACAGATTCAGAGCATGCGCAGACATTTTTCACTCGTGTCAGGACACAGAGAAATATTTTCAAAGACTCCCCTGGCCCAAGAAATTCTGTAATTTTGTTCTTTTTCTGACCCCCCTCCCCCCTCCCCTCCAGAAATTCCAAATTCCTCTGGGGGGGGGGGTGAGATAGATACTTTCTGGAACTATACATTGTAATGAGCATCTTTTTTGACACAATACATACTTGTGATTAAAGAAACTAAGACAAACACCAAACATCATATGAATCACTCCAAGAATGATTGAGAGCTTCATCTTGAAAGAGTTGGTGAAATTCAGCTTGTTCTTTGCAACTTGCCAAATCTGAAGAAAACAGAAAGCATATTACATATGACAAGTATTCTTATTGCTTAGGAAAAATAATATATATATATGTACAGTACTCCAGTAACTAAGTTTGACATTTCTATCAGCCAAAATAGTTTTAAGTTAAGTTAGAGTGCATACTATAATATCTGGAAAAAAGTAGTAAGAAATTGCAGAAATTTGCACAAATTGGTAAGTTCAGTAGACCTCGGCAGACCTAGAAACTTGCACTAATTTCTCCAGTTTCCTCCCTCCATAAAAATCAGTTGTGAGTTGAGTGTTGTGTGCATAGAACATTAAGTGTAGCCATACATAGTTTATGCAAGTGAAAAAGTGTCTCCAATTAGTGTGAAAGCACTAGAACAACTAGACGCTTAAATAAAGATATTTTTCATTAATAAACTTAATCAGTTAATAATTACATTATATTACCAGTGGTAAACCTTACCGGATCTATACCAAAGTAATATGGTACGCCACCATAAGTGTCCTTGGGATCAAGATTAACTGTTTTGTCTGAATCTCCATCATAAGAGTGCAATGCTGCATCACTGAAAAGCAAAAGATTCAAAATTACATTGTGAAAAGGAATTTCACGATGAAAAACAATTGAGAAGTGGCATGGACTGGTACAGTGCTCTCTCTCTCAGAAATTGTGCAGTTTATGCCTGGGGTAATGCGGGTTTAAAATATTTAGACCACATTGATTTATTGTCGGTATTCCAGACCACAGCATAATTATTTCAGTTTAGTTTGCTTGCAATGTCTCCTTCGATTTTCTTCTTGCTGTGAAAATCAACACACAAGTTGAGTGTTGTAAACAGGGAATGTAAAGATATTGCACATGGAGCAAACCTCACAGAAAAGAGCCCCTTAGGAAGAGTGACTATCTCGTAAGATATAACAGATATAAGTATATTAGCAGCACACTGTCATAATCTTTGCTTCCCATTATTGTAAAGAGTTAAAGTCCTGGGCCTTTTTGCACAAAGCTCTCTTAAGACAAGAGAATTCATAAGCATATATAGTTCCAAAACAAAGACCATTGCACTAAAACAATACTAACTGATGCTCTTATCTTAAAAAGGCTTTATGCAGCTGTCCCCCCTGATCTGATTCTGATTTGATCTGATTCCGTATTATCTAAGTATATATGTGTAACTACTCTGGTTTTTTTTTCAAGGCAAAGCACTTGGTCCTTCATGCCTTCTTACTATCTAGAGTCATAAATGAGCAGAAGGAAACCAGGCAAAATATTTGGATAGACTAACAGCCAATCAAGGGGGGGGGGGGGGTAGGGGGAATGAGGTTCAATAGAATCTGGTTATAAAACACATTTGATGGTGGCTCCTGAATGAATGCCCCTTACCCCAACCTCCTCCCCCCAGTTAATACTTGGTCTTGCTTACCTGTATGCAGTTCTGTTTGGAAAGTACCACCCAGTGCCAAAGATATTAAAAGATCGAGAAAAACAGTCATTGTAGATCAGACCAGCGTAGACGGCAAAAACTCCCATCAACAAGATGATGTAGCGACCATGGAACATTGTTTCAAACATCTTGAAAAAGAAATCAATCAATTTTAGAACCTTTGATGATTAAGTTGAATATAGCTTATTGAAATCCAGGGTGGTGAGGGTGACAGCAGTGAACTCACCTTTCACTTCTGGGGTATCAGGTTTGATTACTGGACTCAGCATTGCAATGTGAGGGTTCCATGTGATGAGAGTTTGTTAGGTTGGTGTTGTTTGGGGGTTTTTTTAGTTTCCAAAAACCAACATCTTTAGGAGACCTAACAAACTCTATTCAAACGTGATGCCAAGTCCACGAATCAAAGACAATTAAGTACAGGGTTTAAAATAAGGGCTGGTGATAGGGCAATGTCCAGCCAGAATTGGAACTTGTCCAGTCAAATATTTGCTTTGCCGGTCATTATGACCATGATTCAGAAACGAGGTATGACCAAGCTAATACTTATTGGGCTCCAGTCATCATGACAAGCAACTAACTTGCGTTTTTTTAATCTCTGAAGTGGCAAGTGCATAGCTGATACACCACCCTTGATTCCCAAAGAGTCAAGAGAGAAGTGATGAGAAAGTGTGTGCTATTTACATCCTGGTTCAATCTATACCAACTCACCTCTCCACCTCCTTTGAAGCTCTTCAGCTTCTTCTCATTGAGCACCAGATACAAGGCAAACAAAGCCATGATAAGGCCATGACCACAGTCACCAAACATCACAGCAAACAGAAAAGGAAAAGTGATGACAGTGAATAGAGCTGCAAAAGAAAACCTTGTTATTAATATTTGCAACAAGCAGTCACATGCTGAAATATGATATCAATAACAAATCTATTCAACCAAAGGTCCCTTGGGGAAGGCTCTGCTGGATGGCAAACAAACTTTTTTGCTTCATATCTTGAAATTAAAAATTGCTTCATATCTTGAAATTGAAGCATTCTGTGAGGAAATTCTTTTGTCATCCAGTAAAAGTCACATGATTAGACGTATGTACTAATAACCAGGTGTGGATCCAGGAATTGTGTCCCAAATGAAGAAATATATGCGATACAATGTATCATGCATCGCTTCCAAAAAGCATGAGTAATTACGGCATTCTCTAAGGAGGGTATCTGGAGCACGGCAGGACACTCCCTGGATCCAGCCCTGGTAACATCCTCATGATTACATGTATGTCCAGCAAAAGGCCTATAGAAGTGTTTTTGTACAAGCGGGAAACAATACAGCAAACTGCCTGAGCGTTACAATAACCTAAAACTCACCAGGGTTGACCTCCTGATAGTTGGCAACACCATATGAATCAACTATAACTTGAAACCCCTGGGTAAACTTATCAGTTCTGTTGAATGTGGGTGGGTCCTGTTGGGTGTTCATTCTGTTCAAGATTGATGGAACACTTGCACCACTTCTTTCCTGTTTATTCAATAACACATTTATAATCATAGGTGAGAACAAAATGACATAAATCAATGTTATGAAGGTGGTTTATATATACTTATGTACATGTATACACTCATTTGTCAATCGTTGTCTGGTTCAGAAACATAGAACATAGAAGCTGAGACCAAAATGGCACATGGGAAGTACGTTAATTAGACGCATACTGTGACCGGCGAGCCGTGGCATCAACCACTGCTTTTAATACGCGTTTGACATTCTAAACCGTCGGACTGCATGGATGGCGCAAATGAATAAATTATAATATAATTATGTCATTTCCCATGTGCCATTTCGGACTCAGCTTTTATGTTCCTGAACCTGACAAAGGTTCTTCAATTGAGTGTATATTGATGACATGACATAATGACATAAATCACTGTTATGAAGGTGGTTGGTATATACTACTCTAATTACATGTATGTAAATGTATATATTCTTAAGTGCCTATTAATTATTACATGAAATTTTCGTAACTCTTTAATTTTGAGCTTCTTACATTATTTTTATGACTAATGATGCAGCATAAAATTTGGTCAACTTTTCCAGTGATTTTCACAAATTTAAATAGTTGGCAAACCCATATCAAATGCATGAAAATGTGTTTCACCCTTTATCCAACCATAAAAGTTGGTTATAAAGAACTGGCTATGTGCTCCTCTTTTTTGGATGACGCACTTCTTCTCATGTTTGATAATTACTTCAAAAACCATAAATTAATGTTTAACTTCTGCGCAGAAACAAAACTCCCTGAAAAGGTGGGGGGAGGGTGGGAAGGGGTATATATCCAGTTACTGCCCTGGGTTACCAGAGCCACCATTCCTTATACTGTGGCAAATAATTTTGGCCACCAATTCCCTATTGACATTTGGTCTCAATGACAAACTTAGCAAATTTACCACCATGGTATGTCATGAAATGAATATCCAAAAAGCTCTACAAAATACTAGAAATACTCACAGTTCCTCTGCGGAGAGCAGCCTGGATTTGGTCCAAATCAGCAACTGGACACCAACACTCAGCAATCAAACATTTCTGGGTCACATCCAGATTAAACATGTTCATGGTATGATAAATGGCCTTGATCTTCTTCACCTAGAATATAAAAAACATTAATTCATATTATCTAGTTACACTATATCTCACTAAAACTCATGAACAATCAATGTGGAAACAGTACTCAAATTAGACATAAAATAAATCCAAAAAATCTTAAAAACATAAAACATTTAAATCCAATAAAAATCATAACCTAAAAGTAAGTAAATTAGATAGACACAGAAGCAACATCAATTAACTTGTGAGCATTACTTTTAAGTAATGCTCATAAGATATTTTWAAAAAAGCATATGAACTAATCCCATGCAACATCTATGTGCCTCTTAAGGTGACTGCATACTGGACTCACAACATTTTGATGGCTATAGATGACGAAAAAAGTGGTAAATGAGAGGATATACCATGGAAAACTGGAGGAAATTGGATTTTTACCACAAAAAAATAAAAAATTTTACTACAAAAACAAGGGTAAACTTTGAACAAAAAACAGGGTTTCAAGCGTGTGCATGATTTGCTGATGTAATTTACAGTATGTACTCCAATTTTCCATGGCTCTAGACCAATCAGAAAGAGAGAAAATTCAAAACAATGGTAAAATCTTATTTAACTTCAAAAGGTTACTCCAAAAAATGGCTCTTAGGATTTGAATAGATATGCCCAGATAAATGTTTATCCAGGTTAATCCCATGCACTCTTAACATACCTTGATAAACCACTGATTGACATTGTTTGATACTGTGACCAGTAGCCTGTGTCTATGGTCTTTAGTTTGACTCAACACCTGGAAAAACAATAACAAAACACTTAACCATTCAAACACATAATTATCATGGGAAATTCTCCATTCATATACATGTACACCTATTTCAAAAAACGTTGTCAGTTGGAAATCTGAAATCATCTGAGAATGAGTAATATGCTTCAAAGTAATATGTTTACAACAGCCAAACATGTATTTTTATTTTAAATTGGACTATGAGACATGACTTTTGAGTTGGAAATGTGATTAATTTTTTATTTTAGCCAGAAAAAAATATAAACACAACAATTCTAAGCACCAGTGGCGTGTGCCTCTCACCAATGCGGCCCAAGTTTAAGTCCTGCCGATCTTGTTGTCATATGTGAGTAGAGTTGTTTGTTGGTTCTCTCCTGTGCTTCGAGGTTTTTCTCCAGTTTTCCTAGTCCTCAAAAATCAACTTCTAAATTCTAATTCGATCTAAGGGCTTTCACTTAGTTTGGAGCCTAGCTCTGTTGTGATTGTCCCACGCTGTGATACAACAGCGAAAAGCTTTGTAGATTCAGTTTCAGATCGCTCATCTCAGATCTCAGACCAACAACATTTTTTTGAAATAGGTAACTGTATCCATCGCGTATACTGAAAGAGTTCGCATTGATGCTGGCACCTTCCATAACAGTACTGTTAAACAAATCATTTACATCTGGTACTCTACCTAACGACTGGAAAATAGCGGACGTTACGCCAATCCACAAGAAAGGTTCTAAACACCTTAGGGAAAATTACCGCCCAATCTCACTCACATCTATTGTATGTAAAATTGGTGAAAAAATTATCAAAAACAAAGTTATTGAATTCTGGCGTGAATTAAACGTATTAAACGACAACCAGTTTGGTTACCTTCAAGGAAGATCTACTGTAACTCAACTGCTATCTACTGTTAATGATTGGGCGAAGTCAAGAAATTCTTCTATCCCTACAGACGTAATCTTCCTCGACCTGGCGAAAGCCTTTGACAGCGTGCC